TCTAGGTCTTAAATCCACTTTGAGTTGATTATTGTGTATAGTGTTGAGGTAGTGATCTAGTTTTATTTATTTATTTTTTGCATGTAGCTTTCCAGTTTTCCCAGCACCATTTGCTGAACAAATTTTCTTTGTTCCATTGTATATTCTTTGAACCTTTGTCAAAGATTAGCTGCCTATAAACCTGTGGGTATATCTGGGTTTTCTAACCAAATCCACTGGTCTGTATGTCAGTTCTTGTTCCAGTATCATGCAGTTTTGATTATTATGGCTTTGAAGTTTGGGAATGAAATGCCTCCATTCTCTTTCTTCTTAGTAATGAGAGTTTGACTATTCAAGGTCTTTTGTTGTTCCATATGAATCTCATCAATATTTTTTCTATTTCTTTGAAGAATATCATTGAGACTTTTATTGGGATGGCATTAAATCAGTATATTACTTTTGGTAGGATGGCCATTATGATGATGTTAATTCTCCCAATCCATGAGCAGGGGATATCTTTCCATCAGGGTGTCATTTGTAAATCCATCTTGTCCTAGGCTTTTATTTTGGGGGAGGATTTTGATTACTTCTTCAATTTCCTTGCTTGTAATTGGCCTGTTTAGTTGTTTTATTTCTTCTTTATCTAGCTTTGGATGGTTGTAGAGTTGTAGGAATATGTCCATCATTGTAGAAATTTGCTAAATCGTCGAACTTGTTTGTATATAGTTATTCATAGTATTCTGTGATTATTCTTTTGATTGATTTCTGCTGGATCTGTTGTGATGTCTCCTCTTTCATTTATGATTCTGTTTATTTGTGCTTTCTCTTGTTTTTTTCTTTGTGAGCCTGGCTAGTGGCCTGTCTATCTTGTTTATTTTTTCAAAGAACCAACTTTTGGCTTCATTGATTTTTTGCATTGGTTTCCTAACTTCCCATTCCATTTATTTCTGATTTGATTTTTATTATTTTCTGTCTTCTACTGGCTCTTGGCTTATTTTGTTGTTCTTTTTCCAGTTCTTTAAGGTGAGAGATTAGGTTGTTTCTTTGAGTTATTTCTTGTTTCTTTATGTGAGCCTGTGTATTGCTATATACTTTCCTCTTACATCTGCTTTTAGTGTGTCCCATAAGTTTTGGAGAATAGTGTCGTTATTGTCATTCTTCTAAAGATATTTTTAAATTTCTTCTTTGATCTCCTCATTGATCCAATGGCCCTCCAGTAGTGTGTTTTTAAGTCTCCACATGGTAGGTGTGTTTCTTGTCTTCTTCATATGATTTATTTCTAGTTTGACTCCTTCATAGTCAGAGAAAATAGTTTGTATGATTTCAATCTTAGTGTACCTATTGATATTTATCTTGTGGCCCAGTGTGTGGTCAATCCTAGAGAATGACGTATGTGGATTTGAGAAAAATGTGTACTCAGATTTTCTGGGGTGCAGTATTCTATAGATGTCCACTAGACCCATGTTGTCCAGGTCCTTGTTTGGAACGTTAGTGTCTTAACTTATTTTTTGTCTTGTTGATCTGTCCATTGTTGAGAGTGGCGTATTAAAGTCTCCTACTATGTATGTATTCTCTCGGATATACATTTTCATGGATGACAGTAGTTTCCTGATATATTTTGGTGCTTATTCATTTGGTGCATATAAGTTGATGATTTTTATGTCTTCTTTTTGTATTGTCCCCTTAATCATAATATAGTGGCCTTCTGTGTCTCTTTTAATCTTTTTTAGTTTGCAGTCTATTTGATCTGATATAAGTATAGCTGTTCCTGCCTTCTTTGTTGATCCATTTGCTTGTAGAACTGTTTTCCATCCTTTTATTTTTAATGTTTTTATCTTTTGCAGTTAGATGTGTTTCCTGCAGACAGCAAATGATAGGTTCTGTTTTTTAATCCATCCTGCAACTCTGTGTCTTTTCTCTGATGAGTTTAAGCCATTTACATTTAGAGATAATATTGATATACTGGCACCTACATTTGCCATTTTGGTCCTTCTGTATTTTTATTCCTTGTTTTGAATTGTTCTTATTCATTCTTCTGTTGGATTTGGTTTGAGGGCTTCTTGTAGTATTTTTTGGAGTGGGGGCTTAGTCATGACAAAATTGTGGAGTTTCTATTTGTCTGAAAATGTCCTTATTCTTTCTTTGTAGAGGAAGT